TGAGTTTTGGTGAGCTGTCAAGGGTCACAAGGGTAGCCCCACCTTTTGATAGGTGTCCCATTCCCTGGTCACTATCTTGGAACCAGAAGTCCCACCCGTAAACCCTGACCTTTGCCATCAGAAGTTCCTACCCTTGCCTCCAGAATTACTCCTTTGGCAAGGGGGTTTGCCATCTTGGAACTAGAAAAAAACAACAAATTATTATTAATCAAACATATTTGGTGGTGTTTGGGGGTGTGTGTGGGTGCTTGTGTATAGTGGGACCCCCCCAACAAACACGCTGTGTGGGACTCCCCCTACAAACATGCCCCACCATTGTGCACAGCCCCTGCCCACCAACGGCAGCACCAGGCAGAGCTCCCAGGTGGTGTGTGGTCCCAGCAAGCCCCAGGACTACATGTGGCTGGGCTGCCAGCTCCATTGTGCAGGACTCACATGCCTGAGCCCCATGCTGTCAGGTGGAGCATCACACAATGAAGCCAGTGGTACAGGTCATGGGCTTGGCTGGGATGGCAGGGAGAGGGGTGGAGCTGGCCTGGCTCCATAGCATGGAGCGCCCCTCCATTCCCCACAACCTGTGCATGACAGTGATAGGGGCCGGGCCACCAGCTCCATCGCACGGGTCTCCGCACGGAGGCACACGGCTTGGACAGAGACCCCAGGAACTGCATGCGAACCTGGGGAGCCCTGAGCAATGGAGCTGGGTGGCCGCCGTGCCCCTGCTGGCCTGGGTTCCATGCTCCTGCCACCCCACCTGGGGCCCCTGCAAGCCCCATCCCTGGGGCACCGGCACAGGCCCCGTGCTTTTGCCCACTGCACCCTACACCCCTCCACTTGCTTACTGCCGCTGCCACCCTTCCCCTACCTGCTGCAGCCCTTCCTTTGTATCCGCACCCACCCACTGCCACTCCTTGCCTGCCCACTGCCACTCTCCCTCCATCACCTTTCCCCCACTGCTGTCCTTCCCCTGCCCACTGCCACCACTTCCCTATCTTCAGGGCCAGGGTCAGGGCTGTCCCATGGGCAAGGGTGGGAGCGCAGAATGCCCTGTGCCCCAAGGAGTGAGCAGGGTTCAGCCCTATGTGAGCACATCAGGGGCAGCCCAGGGCCAGGCCGGATACAGTGAATTGGTAGGCACCTGCCTGCAGCCCAGATAAATTGCCTGGTGGGCTTGATTCAGCATGTCAGCCATATTTTGCCTGCCCCTGAGCTTAGGGAGCCACAGAGGTAATATTGTTGAAGAAGCCCCCTTGCTTTGTATTCCTAATGTGCTTTGCTCTCGTCCCAAATCAGACTTCTTTCAGAAGAAAAAGGATTACGTAGCA